AACAACAACAACAACAGCAGCAGCAACAACAACAACAACGTCATCTACAACAGAAATAACGTCATTTAAACATCAACAACAACATCATCGTCAACAACATCAACAACAATCACACTTTACTCTCCGCAAAAAAATTGAAAATCTTTAATGAATCGATTGGTAACATCACACAACAAAACAACAACACAACAATAATAACGTCTTTACTACAAAAACGGCATCACAATAACAACAACAACAATAGTACAACAATAAAAACTTTATAATATCAAAGCTATCGCAACAACAACAACAACAATAACATCAACAACAACAACTAGCATAACAACAACATAATATCACAACCATATACAACAACACACAACAACAAACAATCAAAATTGATTGAAAAAGAATTTGAATTCAACTAAAAATGCTCACACCATGTGCCTATACAAACTAGGATAATAATATTTATGATAATAAGAGTAAAAAGAATGATGAAGAAGATGATGATGATAAAGATGATGATGATAAAGATGATGAGGATGATGGTAATGGTGATGATGATGAAATTTTTTTCAAAATTTGGCGATGAAGTTTTGTTGTTTTCGAAATAAAAGCAAATGTGATAGGGATGTTCATGATCAATTATCAACAATGAGGCTGGCGACATACGTGTGTCTGGTGATGATGATGATGATGACGACGACGATGATGATGTCGATGATGTTGTTGTTGCTGCTGCTGCTGCTGCTGATGACGATGATGATGAGGATGATGTTGACGGTGATGATGATGATGATGAGGATGATGTTGACGGTGATGATGATGATGATGATGTTGACGGTGATGATGATGGTGATGGTGACATTGAGGATAACGACGATGATGATGATTTTGTTGATGATGGTGATAACGATTTTGATGATTGTTGATGAAAAATGTTGATGATGATGATGATGTATTTGTTGATGATGGTGATGGTTTTGTTGAAAATGATGATATTGTTGTTGATGTTGTTTTTTTATGATGACGATGATGTTGTCTTTGTTGATGATGACGCTTTCGTTGATGATGATGATGATGATGCTGTAGTTGTAGTTGATGCTGATGGTGGTGATGATTTTGTTGATGTAGAAAATAATGATGGGGATGTTGATGATGGTGATTCAAAGAAAAAAAAATTCTTTTCAAACAAACTTCACCAATCAATAGTCAAACAAACATTATCATTTTCGTAATCCCCACAATCCTTACCACAATCATCATTATGTAGTTTTCATCATTTTTTTCATCTTCAACATTATATTCATCATATTCATCATCATCAGCATCATCATCATCATCATTATCAACATCATCATCATCAACAACGTCACCATTAACGTATTATCTTCCGCCTCATCATCATAACAACATATCATCGTTATCATCATCTACATCGTCGTCATCATCATCTACCTGGCCATCATTATCATCATCGCCATCATCATCATCATCATCATCAGCGACACATAATATTTTCTCTATTTTTTTAATTTTTTTTTTACAAACTCGACGCTCCTATCATTTGTGTAAAATAATTAAGTAAGAAATAACAATTTATTTCTTTAATAAAACTTTTTGACTATTCATTTTTTACATCATTTACATCATTTGCAACCTTCATCACCTTGTATTCATCTTCTTCTTCATCCTCTTCCTCATCATCTTCTTCTTCTTCATCATCATTATCATTGTTTTTTTTCATCATCTCGTCATCATCAACAACAGCATCGTCCATGTCATCATCATCGACATCAGCTTCTTCATCACCATCATCATCATCTTTCCTCATTAATGATGAAAAGATGATGATCTTCTTTTTTTCCCCGTCATCTTTTTAAAAACAGCAAAAACATCTTTTGCGTCACCGCCATCATCATCATCACCAATTCTTTATCATCATCTATCTTCATCACCATCATCATTCAATCATCGTAAATGTTTTTAATAATAAATTTTCATATTTTTAATGATTAGCTGTTGTGGGGAATAAATTTTTAGTGTATTTTATGTTTTCAAAGAAAACTGATGACGACGAAGCAAAGTGAACTTTTTGGAAAACAAAAATTAAGACAAACATTCTGAAATCTTAAAAAAATTAAACGACAAGCTCCAAAAAATTCACTTCACCAGCCTTGAAAAAAAACAATAAAACAAATCAAAACAAAACTAACGATGCTGAGGAAAAAAAAAAGAAAAAATAACCAAAAAACAAAAAAATATTTAAAACAAAACAATAAATAAAACAAAAAACAAACAAAAAATAAACAAACAAAAACTGACAAAAAAAAAATTAAAAAGCAAACTTTTAAGATTCAGGCAATAAATCAACAAGAAAAACATTTAAACTCAAGATTTCCGAGATGAAAAAATTTAATTCACCCAGACATTTCGCAGAAAAAAAAGGAAAAAATTTTTTTAAATTTCAACAACAAACCAAAAACAAATACACAAATACAATCACACACACACACACATACACACACACACACATACTGAAAATACCCTACTTGACACACAAACTCAACATGCAACACTGAACAACATCAACCACACAAACTTAACTCTTGAACGAAATGATAAATTAAGCTTAACCAAATATGCAACAAGATAAAACTAAGTAACCTCTTCAACTAAGCAGACAACAACAATATCCAATATTATTAACAGTAGATAAAAATCCGCAACGTAATTAAACAACAACATATACAATACAAACAACAACATATACAATACAAACAACAACATATACAATACAAACAACTGAATAAACAATACAAACAACTACGTAAACAAAACAAATAACAGCATAAACAATACTAACAACAATTTAAACAATACAAATAACAATGTAAACAACACAAATAAGAGCATAAATAATACTAACAACAACACAAACAATAAAACAATAATGTAAACAATACAAATAACAGCATAAACAATACTAACAACAACACAAACAATACTAACAACAACACAAACAATACAAACAACGACGAAAAAAACAAAGACATGGGCATTATTTGCTGCAAAATTTTTTTTTTACAGAAATGTATATACAATGATCAAAAATCATCATAAACAGCAAATGAACTTTGAACCCACCTGCACGTTAATTTCAACAACAGAAACACCAAAAAATACACAAAATAATCACGACAAAACTTCAAAAAAAATTCAATAAAATAAAAAAAAAACATTTCATTCTTCAAATTACTGAATAAATGCAACATTCAATAAAACAATCAAAAATGTAATAAAAAAATAAATATAACAAAGAAAAAAATGCAAACAAATTGCAATACAGTAAAAAGTAGAGGAGGACATGAGCATCATCACCAGGGCATCACACCATAAAGAAAATAAAATTGGCGCGAAAATAATAATAATGTCACAAGTCGTCATCACCCGGCTAACATCATTATTCAACTCTTTTTATCGCTCGCCTCGCCAAAATTGTCATTGTTATGACCATGGGCTCATGTTCCAAGTCATCGAGGTAGTATCTGTAGCTGTAGTGCTTGCGGCTGTAATATTTGTGGCTGTGGTATTTGTGGCTGTAGTAATTGCTGTTGTAGTATTTGTGGCTGTAGTATTTGTGCTTGCCGTATTTGTGGCTGTAGTGTTTGCGGTTGTAGTACTTATGGCTGTAGTATTTGTGGCTGTGGTATTTGTAGTTGTAGTATTTGTGGCTGTAGTATTTGTGGCTGTCGTATTTGTGGTTGCCGTATTTGTGGTTGTAGTGTACATGGCTGTTGTTAAATTACTACTTATACCTATAAATTAGCAGTATTTGTATTGTTGTGTGTAGAAAGTATGTTGTATTTATCTCAGTAGTGGTAAATAAAATAATAGAAAATATAAGACTTTGGAATGTTATAGCAGCTGTGACATAAAACAACAGAAGCAGCATCAGCAAAAACCACCACAAAAACAACATTATCTACAGCAACTACTACTACTCTACCACTACTACCTATACTACTACTACCACTGCTACTTTCACTACTACTACCACTACTACTACTACTTACTACTACTACTACTACTACTACTTACTACTACTACGAAGACAGTACAAGAACTAGAGTGAGATCTATAAGTTACGGCAGAACTAGTAGCCTCCTCACTCTGCAGTGTTAATGATTTAGTAACAAAAATAAAATATTTTGAGACGAGAAAAAAAGATTAGTCGAAAATGATCTCCTAATAAAAATTTAACTCCAAAAATTTGTTGGCAGGAATTTAAAAGGAGGCGAACGAACAGTGCAAGAACACGGAAAGAAAAAATTATGAATTACTGTTCACTTAATCTCACAGAGCCATTGTTGTTGTTGTTGTTGCTGCTGCTGCTGGTTTGTATTGTAAATACTTCTGACGGTTTTTCAGCAACTCAACATGTTGGTGCAACCATTCAACCAACTACTACTGCCAATACAGTAAATCCGAATTCAACAAATAAATGTTTAAAAGTAATATTTGAGCACAACACAACAACAGCAACGATATCAAAAAAAGTTGCAGTTGTTGAAACAAAATCTAAAACAACAACGACAACAACAACCACATCAGCAGTAACAACGACAACGATGATGCCGTCAACATCTTTGATCCAAATTATCAATATCAATTTGCGGACGACGACGTTGAGTCCGCTAATTCGATTGACAACTTCTCCCTGGCATTCTCTGCAGCTGCAACAAATTTTGCAGCAGCAGCAACAACAGCGACAAAACTTACAACACGGACTAGCGCTACAACAATCGCGAAATTTAAACCAACAGCAACAAAAACAACGACACCAAAAAGAAGATTTCAACTGCACGGCTGACAACAACAAAACGCAACAAGTCGTTTACGATCCTAAACTTCAACAAAAACAACAACAGCATCAAAAATTGCAACAACGACAAATACGTCAGTCGAAACAGCACCAACAGCATCGCAACAACAACAACAACAAAAATTTTTATTTCGTCGTGCAAGAGGAAACACCGCTAAACACAATCGTAGCCGATTTAACATCAACCTCAGGCTTCCAAGAAAATTTGAGTCCCGCCATCTTGAAATCATTACGTTACCAATTTTTGACGCAACCACTTCCGCTGAATGTGGAGTTGGGCGAGGATAGTGGCGTCATTAAAACGAGTGGTCGTCTGGATAGGGAAGGCTTGTGTCCGCTCGCTCCTGTTTGCAAGGTTGGATCACGTTTGCTCGTGGGGTTTTTAAATCTATGGTGTGAAACTTTTGAAAAGAAATATATGGTGATTTTATATTCAAAAAATTAATTATTCATCCAACCATTCATTCATCAATCTATCCAACCATTTATTCATTTTTCTATTCAACCATTTATTCATCTTTCAATACATCCATCCATCCATCCATTCATCCATCCATCCATCCATCCATCCGCCAAACAGTTCACATTGGACGTGGCAGTGACACCCAGGGAGCATTTCAAAATCTTGAAAATCACAATCGAAATCTTCGACATTAACGACAACCCGCCACAGTTCCAGGGACCGAATCCTCAACTCTTTCAATTATCCGAGTCGGTATCAATCGGTACGATACTCTCTCTCGAACCGGCTGTCGATGCAGATTCGGATCTTTACTCGGTCGATAGGTACGAACTGGCGGTTGACGATTCTCCTGGTGGTCGGTTCTTTGACCTCAAGTTGGTGAGGAAGTTGGACGGATCGGAAAGTCTTCAATTGGTTCGTTAAAATTTTTTTGCTGTTTTTCAACAATTATTTTTATTGTTGATTTTCTTTTTTTTGTCTTCTCATTACTGTTTAGGTTCCTTTTCATTTACATGACAATTTCCAAATAGCATCAACCATCAACATTGTGTTACAAATGATTGAATAATGTTGACCAGCTAGCATTAATGATTTGCAGTTAATGTGTTAGAGTTGCAGCATATCTAGAAGAAGCAGTTGTTATAGTTTTAGTAATAAAAGTTGTTATAGATGTGGTAGTAGAAGTAGCAGTTGTTGTAGCTGTAGTAGTAGTTGTAGAAGTAGCAGTTGTTATATTTGTGGTAGTAAAAGTAGCAGTTGTGTTAGCTGTAGTAGCAGTAATAGAAGTTATAACATGGATAATAGTTTTAATAACGGTAACTCATTGTGGTAATATTGATAGTAGTGGTAGCAGCTAAAAACAATGTAAGCCACCGGCCGCCGAAAAATAGTAGTAGTAATTGCAGTCGCAGTTGAAGCAGCAGCAGTTGCTGTAGTTGTGGTAGTAGTAGTATGCAAATAAATTGTCCGTTGCAGCAGTAATGAAAAAGTAGTAATAAATGTGATGACATGTGAAGTAGCAGAGACAATAGTAGTAACACAAATGGGAGTGAAGTAACGGAAGTAGTTGCGCAGACGAACAATGACGTCGCAATGACGTCACATGATGCCGCCTGCTGCGTGTTATTGTGCTCTATGAGGCACTCCTCATTGTTCTCCACAACTTTATAAAGG